ACACACACACACACACACACACACACACACACACACACACACACACAAAACCCAGAAACTAAGCTAGAAAGATAAAGTCATATTATCATAAAATTTTGTGAAGCGAGAGAAGCTAAGAGAGCAAGGATGAAGTTATCTTTGTGAATTGAGAGGACGTGGATAAGGTTTGGAACACACCTGTTTGTAAATCTGCCCCATTTCCTTGTCGTGTGTTGTTTAGCATTATTTCTGGTGCATAGTACATTCCCAATAGATAGGGACAGCTCTTACTATTGTATTTTTCCTTTGGCAATAGTAGCGGTGATGATGTTCATCATTATTTGCAAAGGACAAGGCACAAAAGGGCGCTGAATAAAATGTAGCCATTATCGTTCATTTATAAATCTCAGCAAGTTTGTTAATGAATTTCATCTCTAGGTCTACCATCTACCCCTTCCTTAACGCTTAACCCATTATAACAGTCCTTTACTCCTTTCTGCAGGTTATAACCATCAGTACTGGACCCCTACCACCAGCAGTGAGTATTCAAGACTCAAATTTCAATGCCCACTGAACCCTTATTCCTCAAAGCACATTGTTCTGGAGAGAAGCTGCCAATGCTCCCTCCCTAAGTGTCCAGCCAAAGACTCAGAGGAGTCCCCTACTCACCCAGGGTCTTGCTCTGAGTCCAAACAGAAGCCCAAATTCTAATGAACAGCTTCTGTCCCACGTTCATTCAGGATGAGACTTAATAATTTTTCCCATGTTCTTTTTTCTCAGCTCCAGTGACTTCTACATTCTCTCCAGAATCTTCCACAACTCTGTCCCCCATCCTCAGCTCTACAGGTAGGAGTCTGCTCTCTGGGACCTGTGAAACTTCAACTCCACATGGTCTGGTTGCCATCAACCACCTGGCCTCAGCCTATCCTACGCACTTTCTCCTTCGCTCTCTAAGCTTTGGCCACATCAGACACTTGTCTGTTCCTCTAGGCTCCTAACCTCTGTCTGGCCTTTATACTAGCTCTTCCTGGAGGTCAGCTGCACCTGGCACCTTATTGCCTTTCAAATCTCAGTTCAACCATCACCTTCTTTGAAAGACCCTCCTAGACCACCTTATAGGAAGTAGCACATCTGAATACACAACTGGCCCACAGGTTTTCTCTATCCACCACCGTGAGTATTTTCTCATGGAATTTACTACTATTGGCTTTATTCAGTCTTTATGTATTTGTCACCTTGAAGCTGAGTAACTAGTCTTCACTCACTTTATATTTATTGATTGGATGAATGGATGAATGTAGCAATCTTGTATATGTCCACGTTCATGAATTGTATTTGAACATCCAGAAAATCATGCAGGATCTCAGTCATGAATTTGGTTCTTGCTCTGTCTCTTCATCTTGCCCAGATGAGGGCCCTTGAGTTTCCAGGAACCTGATACAGGGGCTTGATTTATGTCAGGAAACCTGTCTTACTCCAACTCTTAAGATTTATTTTAAAAATTGGGTCTATGCATATTTTTCAAGTTTACGCCATGACCCAGGCTGGGCGTTCCTGACCTTTAATCTTGCCACAGGAGTCTGGAGTTGTAGGATACAAGCTGGTGTCCTGTAATTTGAATTCTGCCTTCTGGAATTCTGTGTTTCATGGGTCAAGACACTGCAAACTTTTTACAAGCTTTAGACAGAATGCACACTCTCCATGTCCTTACAGCTCCACCCTGATCAACTCAACCAATCTGTAACAGACCTAACTCCTGCAAGCTCGTAAATATGTGACATGTGCCATAGACCAAGTTTTTCCACGATTGATGACGTCATTTTTCTATAGATGCATTCAAGACTTCTTCATCTTTGGTTTTCAGAAGTTTGAGTATGATGTATCTGAGCATGGTTTTCTTTCAGCTTACACTGTTTGGGATTTTCGAAGCTTCCTAGATCTGAAAATGTATGTTTTCAAGAAATTTGGGAAAGTTTTAGCTATTTTATTTTTTTTCCCAGTTATCCAGTACCATTTATTTAGAAAATGCCTTTCTCCATTAAATTGTACAGGCACTCTTGTTGAAAATCAATTCATCATAAGTGTGAGGATTTGTTTCTAGACTTTCGGTTATACCCCATTGATCTACATGTCTATCCTCATTTGGTGTCTTACTGTCTTGATTACTGTAGCTTTGTCTGCTATAATTTTCTTTTTGTATATGTGTTTTATTTAAATTCCAGTTAGTTAACATACAGTGTTACATTAGTTTCAGGTGTGCAATATAGGGATTCAACATTTCCATACATCACCTGGTGCTCATCACAACAGCTGGGGAGAGGATGGAGGGGTTTTGAAATCAAGTCTGACGCACTAGTGTGAGTCAGGTAATCATAGCCCCCACAGCTCTACACATGGTCTCTTTATTAAAGGTCATGAGTTATGGGGTGGGGTAGGTTGAGTAGGTGACAGGAAGCCTCCTATAAGAACTGATGTTTGACTCATATTAAAAAAAGAATGTTTCTCCTGTGTTGGATGGGATTGAATTGATTTTTTTTTCCTTTTATTTTCCCCTTAATCCATGAGATGGCTCTAATCCTGTTACTTTTAACCTCTCAAGTGGAGGCTATCAGGGCCTGTCTGGAGCATCACCAGGGCCCAAGACCTCAACCCCTGGCACCTACCCTGGCCCATATCCAGATTCAAGAGCCCCATAACCCGCCTTTTGATCCAACTGCTGCATTAAGCAATTTTTATGCATAACATAGAATTTACCATTTTAACCACTGTTAAGTGTAAAATTTAGTGGCATTAACTATATTCCGAATGTCGTGCCACCAACACCACTGTCCATTCTCAGGACTTCTTCATCATCCCAAACAGAAACTCTGTTCCCATTGAACACTAACTCCCTATAACCCCTACCCCGAGCCCCTAGTTACCTCTACTCTACTTTCTGTTTCCACAAATTTGCTTATTTTAGGTACCCCAAGTAAGTGAAACCATACAATATTTGTCCTTTCATGTTTGGTTTATTTCACTTACTATGATATTTTCACAGTTCATCTGTATTGTAGCAGCCGTCAGAGTTTCCCTCATGTTTATGGCTGAATATTATTCCACTGTATGTATATGCCACCTTTTGTTTATCCATTCATCAGATGATGGGCTCGGGTTGTTTCTACCTTTTGGCTATTGTGAATGATGCTGCTGTGAACATTTTGTGTTCAAGGATCTGAGTCCCTGTTTCAGTTCTTTTGGGTCTATACCTAGGAGCAAAATTGCTAGATCATATGGTAATCCCATATTTAACTTTTGGAGGAAGCACTAAACTGTTTTCCGTAGCAGCTTCACTAGCATTTCCACCAACAATGCACGAGGATTCCAATTTCTGCACATCTATTTTTTTAAAATTTTATTATGTTGTGTTAGTCACCATACAATACATCATTAGTTTTTGATGTAGTGATCCACGATCCATTGTTTGTGTATAACACCCAGTGCTCCATGCAGTACGTGCCCTCCTTAATACCCATCACCGGGCTAACCCATCCCCCCTCCCCCCTCCCCTCTAGAACCCTGTTTGTTTCTCAGAGTCTATAGTCTCTCATGGTTCATCTCTCCCTCCAATCCCCCCCTTCATTTTTCCCTTCCTTCTCCTAATGTCCTTCCTGCTATTCCTTATGTTCCACAAATAAGTGAAACCATATGATAATTGACTTTCTCTGCTTGACTTACTTCACTTAGCATAATCTCTTCCAGTCCCATCCATGTTGATGTAAAAGTTGGGTATTCATCCTTTCTGATGGCTGAGTAATATTCCATTGTATATATGGACCACATCTTCTTTATCCATTCACCCGTTGAAGGGCATCTCGGCTCTTTCCACAGTTTGGCTATTGCGGACATTGCTGCTATGAACATTGGGGTGTATATGGCCCTTCTTTTCACATCTGTGTCTTTGGGGTAAATACCCAGTAGTGCAATTGCCGGGTCATAGGGTAGCTCTCTTTTTAAATTTTTGAGGAACCTCTACACTGTTTTCCAAAGTGGCTGTACCAACTTGTATTCCCACCAACAGTGTAAGGGGGTTCCCCTTTCTCCACAACCTCTCCAACATTTGTTGTTTCTTTCCCTGTCCATTTTTGCCGTTCTAACTGGTGGAAGGTGGTATGTCAATGTGGTTTTGATTTGAATTTCCCTGATGGCTAATGATGATGAACATTTTTTCATGTGTCTGATAGCCATTTGTGTGTCTTCTTCAGAGCAGTGTCCTTTCATATCTTCTGCCCACTTTTTGACTTGATTATTTGTTTTTTGGAAGTTGAGTTTGAGAAGTTCTTTATAGATCTTGGATACCAGCCCTTTATCCGTAGTGTCACTTGCAAATATCTTCTCCCATTCTGTGGGTTCCCTCTTTGTTTTGTTGACTGTTTCCTTTGCTATGCAGAAGCTTTTTATCTTGATGAAGTCCCAAGAGTTCATTTTTGCTTTTGTTTCACTAGCTTTTGGAGATGTATCTTGAAAGAAGTTGCTGTGGGCGATGTCAAAGAGGTTACTGCCTATGTTCTCCTCTAGGATTTTGATGGATTCCTGTCTCACATTGAGGTCTTACATCCATTTTGAATTTATCTTTGTGAATGGTGTTAGAGAATGGTTGAGTTTCATTCTTCTGCATGTGGCTGTCCAATTTTCCCAGCACCATTTATTGAAGAGACTGTCTTTTTTCCATTGCATGTTTTTTCCTGCTTTGTCAAAGATTATTTGACCATAGAGTTGAGGGTCCATATGTGGGTTCGCTATTCTGTTCCATTGGTCTGTATGTCTGTTTTCGTGCCAGTACCATGCTGTCTTGGTGATCACAGCTTTGGAATATAGCTTGAGATCGGGCAACGTGATGCCCCCAGCTTTGTTTTTCTTTTTCAACATTTCCTTGGCAATTCAGGGTCTTTTCTGATTCCATACAAATTTTAGGATTGTTTGTTCCAGCACTTTGAAAAATGTCATTGGAATTTTGATCAGGATGGCATTGAAGGTATAGATTGCTCTGGGTAGCCTAGACATTTTAACAATGTTTATTCTTCTGATCCATGAGCATGGAATATTTTCCCATCTTTTTGTGTCTTCTTCAATTTCTTTCATGAGTGTTCTGTAGTTCCTAGAGTATAGATCCTTTACCTCTTTGGTTAGCTTTATTCCGAGGTATCTTATGGTTTTTGGTGCTATTGTAAATGGAATTGTTTCTCTAATTTCTCTTTCTACAGTTGCGTTGTTAGTGTATAAGAAAGCAATTGATTTCTGTGCATTGATTTTGTATCCTGCCACATTACTGAATTGCTGTATGAGTTCTAGTAATTTGGGGATGGAGTCTTTTGGGTTTTCCACATAAAGTATCATGTCGTCTGTGAAAAGAGAGAGTTTGACTTCTTCTTGGCCAATTTGAATACCTTTTATTTCTTTTTTTGTCTGATTGCTGTTGCTAGGATGTATGTTGAATAATAGTGGCAAGAGTGGGCATCCTTGACGTGTTCCTGATCTTAAGGGAAAGGCTCTCAGCTTTTCCCCATTGAGGATGATATTCGCTGTGGGTTTTTCATAGATGGATCTTATGAACTTGAGGGATGTTCCCTCTATCCCTATACTCTGAAGAGTTTTAATCAGGAAAGGATGTTGTATTTTGTCCAATGCTTTTTCTGCATCAATTGAGAGGACCATATGGTTCTTGTCCCTCCTCTTATTAATGTGTTCTATCACATTGATTGATTTGCGAATGTTGAACCACCCTTGTATCCTGGGGATAAATCCCACTTGGTCGTGGTGGATGATCCTTTTAATGTATTGTTGGATCCTATTAGCTAGGATTTTGTTGAGGATTTTGGAATCCATATTCATCAGGGATATCGTCTGAAATTCTCCTTTTTGATGGGGTCTTTGCCTGGTTTGGGGATTAAAGTAATGCTGGCCTCATAGAATGAGTCTGGAAGCTTTCCTTCTGTTTCTATTTTTTGAAACAGCTTCAGGAGAATAGGTATTATTTCTTCTTTGAATGTTTGGTAGAATTCCCCAGGGAATCCATCAGGCCCTGGACTCTTGTTTTTTGGGAGGTTTTTGATCACTGCTTCGATCTCGTTACTGGTTATTGGCCTATTCAGGTTGCCAATTTCTTCCTGTTTCAGTCTTGGCAGCTTATAGCTTTCCAGGAAGGCCTCCATTTCATCCCGATTGCTCAGTTTATTGGCATATAGTTGTTGATAATTTCTAATAATTGTTTCTATTTCCTTGGTGTTAGTCATGATCTCTCCCCTTTCATTCATAATTTTATTAATTTGGGTCCTTTCTCTTTTCTTTTGGATAAGTCTGGCCAGTGGTTTATCAATCTTATTAATTCTTTCAAAGAACCAGCTTCTAGTTTCGTTGATCTGATCTACTGTGTTTCTGGTTTCTAATTCATTGATCTCTGCTTAATTTTAATTATTTGTCTTCTAATGCATGGCTTAGGCATCGTTTGTTGCTTTTTCTCTAGTTCTTTAAGGTGTAGAGTTGGTGAATTTGGGATTTTCTATTTTTTTGAGTGAGGCTTGAATGGCTATGTATTTCCCCCTTAGGACTACCTTTGCAGTATCCCACAGGTTTTGGACTGATGTGTTTTCCTTCTCATCGATTTCCATGAATTGTTTAAGTTCTTCTTTGATTTCCTGGTTGACCCAAACATTCTTGAGCAGAGTGGTCTTTAGCTTCCAAGTGTTTGAATTTCTGCCAAATTTTTTCTTGTGATTGAGTTCCAGTTTTAAAGCATTGTAGTCTGAGAATATACAGGGAATAATCTCAATCTTTTGGTATCGGTTGAGACCTGATTTGTGACCCAGTATGTGGTCTATTCTGGAGAAAGTTCCATGTGCGCTCGAGAAGAATGAGTATTCTGTTGTTTTAGGGTGGAATGTTCTGTGTATATCTATGAGGTCCATCTGATCCAGTGTGTCATTCAAAGCTCTTGTTTCCTAGTTGATTTTCTGCTTAGATGATCTGTCCATTGCTGAGAGTGGAGTATTGAGGTCTCCTACAATTAACGTATTGTTATCAATATGACTCTTTATTTTGGTTAACAGTTGGCTTATGTAGATGGCTGCTCCCATGTTGGGGGCATAGATATTTACAGTTGTTAGATCTTCTTGTTGGATAGACCCTTTAAGAATGATATAGTGTTCTTCTGTGTCTCTAATTACAGACTTCAGTTTAAACTCTAATTTGCCTGATATAAGAATTGCTACCCCAGCTTTCTTTTGAGGTCCGCTGGCATGGAAGATGGATCTCCATCCCTTCACTTTCAGTCTGGATGTATCTTTAGGTTCAAAATTAGTCTCTTGTAGGCAGCATATGGATGGGTCCTGTCTTTTTATCCAATCCGCAACCCTGTGCTGTTTTATGGGAGCACTTAGGCCATTCACGTTGAGAGAGATTATTGAAAGATATGAATTAATTGTCATCATGCTGCCTGTAAAGACATTGTTTTTATAGATTGTCCCTGTAAATTTCTGTTGTATATCACTCTTGGGGGCTTTCTCCTTTTATAGAACCCCCCCCTTAATATTTCTTGCAGGACCGGTTTAGTGGTCACATATTCTTTCAGTTTCTGCCGGTCGTGGAAGCTCTGCATCTCTCCATCCGTTCTAAATGAAAGCCTTGCCAGATAAAGTATTCTTGGCTGCATGTTCTTCTCATTTAGTACCCTGAATATGTCTTGCCAGGCCTTTCTGGCTTGCCAGGTCTCTGTGGATAGGTCTGACGTTATTCTGATGTTCCTCCCTTTGTACGTAAGGAATCTCTTCCCCCTAACTGCCCTTAAGATGGTTTCCTTGGTTCTAAGATTTGCAAGTTTTACTACTACATGCTGGGGTGTTGGCCTGTTTTCCTTGATCTTGGGAGGGGTCCTCTCTGCCTCTAGGACACGAATGTTTGTTTCATTCCCCAGATTAGGGAAGTTCTCAGCTACGATTTGCTCAAATACATCTTCTAATCCACTCTCTCTCTCCACTCCCTCCGGGATTCCAATTATTCTGACATTGGAACGCTTCATGGTGTCACTTATTTCTCTGATTCTATTTTCATGGATTCTGAGTTGTTTTTCTCTGGCCTCCTCTTTTCCCTTTTTATCTATTATATTGTCTTCCAGGTCGCTTATTCGTTCTTCTGCCTCAGTTACCCTAGCTGTTAGATTATCTAGATTGGATTGGATCTCATTGATAGCACTTTTAAGTTCTGCCAATTCAGCTTTCATTTCTGCGCTTAGAGACTCTATGTTGCCATTAATTGATTTCTCCATTCTAGCCATTTCTTCACAATTGCTAGCCTGGTTATATCTGCATCCATTTGTAAATCTGCAGCATAAGTCAATCTCTGAGTCTTTTCTATTTTGGGGGCTCCTCCTCCTAGTCATTCTGTTGATGGGTGTTTGAGGGTATGTATAGCATCCAAATTATTGACCAGACCCCAAGCAAGATGTACCTGTTTTCTTGGGACCTTAGGGTTGCTGGCCTCTTTTTTTCCCAGCCTGTTTTCTGGGGCAGGGGCCTGCTGGGCTGTTACTCAGGCAACCCTGTTTGGGGGAGTTGCCCTGCCCCCTGTGGCGGGGGATGGGCTCAGCGGGAATCAGTTTTGGGGGCTTTTGTTCTCTGGGGGCTTTCCCTGGAGGCTTTCCGCATCTCTTCCTTGAGTCAGAGCGGAAGAGACTGTTTCCAACCCTCTGCCTCAGAGCTGAGAGACCGCAGTCTGTTCTTCAGTGAGCTCTCCAGGCCACACTCTCTCCATTTCTGTCCGTGCTGCTATAACCTGCAGTGTCCTGGGTTGTCCGCCCCTCCACAGTGCCCGCAGTCCTGCCTCCAGGTCGGAGCACGTCTCTGCCCTTTGTGCTTCTAAAACCGCAGATTGCACCCACCCCCTGCCGCTCTGGGTTTCTGCCCCAGGGCCTGCCCTAAAGTCCTTCCCCTGCCACTACTGGTCGGTGAGTCTGTGCCCCGTCCCCAGCGCCTGAGGCTGTCGCTCACCGGCGGTGTAGGATCCCCACGCCAGGCTTCCTCTCGCTGCCGTTTATCCTCCGAAATCTGTCTGAGGAATCACGGCTCCCCGCTTCATACCTCAAAACCAACCGCCTGCAATATCCTGTTTGTAGAGATCCAGATCTTCTTACATCTCAGGCTGGTTTCGTGGGTGCTCAGGGTGGTCTCAATTTCTGCACATCTTTGCCAACACTTCCTTTTTTTCTTTCTTCTTTCTTTCCTTCCTTCTTTCTTTCTTTCTTTCTTTCTTTTTCTTTCTTTCTTTCTTTCTTTCTTTCTTTCTTTCTTTCTTTCTTTCTTTTTCTTTCTTTCTTCTTTCTTTCTCTCTCTTTCTATAATAGCCTAATAGCTATCCTAATAGATGTGCATGCTACTGTATTTAATAGCATCTGGCTTTGCTCTTTATCTGGAATCTGTCTTTGGTCCTAAGGCAACTAGCCTACGTGCCTACTCTGAACCCCCACCCACTTCCTGAGATCTGGACCCTACATCTCCATCCCCAGAAGTTGTCTTAGAGGCCAGCCCAGGCCTGACTCAGGCATGGCCTCCTTTTTCCTTCCCCTGCTACAGCACCGGTCCCTTTCCTGGTGCTGTTCACCCTCAACTTCACCATAACCAACCTGCACTACGAACAGGACATGCAGCATCCAGGCTCTTGGAAATTCACCTCCACGGAGAGGATCCTGCAGGGTCTGGTGAGAGCCCCGTCCACCGGTGCCAGCCCCACCCACCTCACTTCTGCCCCTGCCCATAGCACCTCTGCCCCATTCACTTCACCAATACCCCAGCTCCCCCTGGCCTCCCTCAGGGGTTCCTGCTCACCTCCTCTCTCCTTTCTCATAGCTCAAACCCCTGTTCAAGAATAGCAGTCTGGGATCCCTCTATTCAGGCTGCAGACTAGCCTCGCTCAGGTGAGACTCTCCCCAAGAACACAGCCCAACAGGTGTATGGGACCCTCATCTACGGGCTCTCTGACTTTGTCCATCCTTGGGACAGCTACCACCATGGATACTGCACATCATTATCAACAATAACAACCCCAGCAGCTAGCAATTCCTAAGATCCAAGGCAATGTGCCTAGTACCTTACATTTCATCCTATCAGCCCTCACAACAGCCTCAAGAAGCAGGAACCAAAGGTGCGACAGGCTCAGAGGGATTGAGTAGCTTGTGCAGATCACACAGAGCAACCCTGCATTGTGGGTTCTAGAGCCAAACTCCTAGCTCTCAAGCCGCGCTGCCTCCCCTGCCTCATTATGACCTTGCGGCATGTGGAAATTACCGATCTGGTACCCTCTAAGAGGGGAGAAGCTAAGAGGGAAGGAAAGCAGGCACGCTGTTACACAGAGAATCCTAAATGGGTCTGACTCATGGAAGGAGGCCTGACCTGCCCTGGGATGGCTTGGGGTTGGGGAGGATGCCATCCCTTGGGTGCAGCTGTGGGGCGGGGTCAGGTCGTTGACACTGCTCCACGCCTGGCATTCTCACCTCCTACATCTTTCAGAATCTCTAGGTCTGGTTCTCCTCACATTCCCGTTTTATCACAGGTATCTACCTCCAGCTCCCCTTGCTTCCGGAGGAAGAGCCGTTGTAGGAGCTTAGTGGCTAAGAGCCTTGGGGAAGCCAGAGCAGAGTTCAAATGCTAGCTCTACCATTTACTGAGATCCTGGCTGGTGCCTGAACCTTGCTGTGCTCCGTTACTCCATGTGTTATACATGATATATTAGGTCCATATGTAATATATGTACACTAACATATATGTATATGGAGAGAGAGATTTGACCCTTGGATAGTGTGGGTTTGAACTGCACTGCATGGGTCCACGTATACATGGATTTTGTTTTGCTCAATACGGTAAAGTGCTATAAATGTATTTTCTCTTATGATTCTCTTAACATCTTTTCTCTAGATTAGTTTATTATAAGAATGCAGTATATAATGCCTATACCCTAAAATATGTTAATTGACTGTGTTATCAGTAAGGCTTCTGGTCAACAACAGTCTATTAGTAGTTAACTTTTGGGGGAGTCAAAAGTTATATGCAGATTTTCAACTGTGTTGGGTGTCCGTACCCCTAACCTCCATGTTGTTCAAAAGTCAACTCTGTATGTACAAATATACATGCACATAGAGAGAGAGAGAGAGAGAGGAAAAGAATAGGTATAATTCTATAGTATATCTGTTATATCTATTCCTACTATATTTTATTATACCTATATATGTAATATATATAACTATAATATATATACCTATATATAATATGTATATTATGTATAATGTATAATAAGTATAATATATAATTATACCTATACTTTATACATAGGTAGATATTACATATATGTTCTATATAGACATAATAGGTATAATATGTTATATATAGGTATAATATCTAATATATATGATGTATATAGGTATAATTCCTAATATA